TTGGCTCTTCAGACTGAGCTAATCGACACATATAGAAGAACAAGAGATACTACTATAATTGAAAGAGATAACGAAATATTGAAATTAAAATCTCTGATAGAGGAAAAAGATCACAAATTATCTGACTTAGAAAATGAATCAGCTGCAAATGCTGCGAAAATTAAAGATCTTCAATCGAAGCAAACAGAATATATGGAATATATGAAAAAGTTAGAGGAACCTAACTGCCAAGGTAAATCCAATACATCTGCAATGATATTACCCAACATCGGGCCATTCCTCGTACCCTGCGACTCTAAGCTTGTGGGATCTGGTTGGATCGTGATTCAGCGTAGAATTGATGGAACTGAAGACTTTAATCGCAACTGGGAGGAATACAAGAGAGGATTTGGGAACATGGAACATGAGTATTTCATGGGATTGGAGAAGATCCATTTAATTACACAATCGCAGCCGCATGAGTTATATATTCACTTGGAGGACATTAATAACAAAACCCGAAATGCCTAGTACAGCCATTTCCTTATTGGCAATGAGGAAGAGTCGTACGAGCTTAAGAAACTTAAAATTTATTCCCGATATGTTTGCGATGATTATAGCCTGCATATAAACCTGAAGTTTTCGACAAAAGATCGGGATAACGATTTATCTGAAAGGAACTGTGCATCAATGTATATGTCTGGCTGGTGGTTCGGGAAATGCTTTTACTGGTATAAACAAACAAAACACTTGAAACTGTATGCCCCATTGATTTTTTAACTATTTCAGTAATTTAGATGAACAAAACACATCCACAGATGTAGGACGATATGATATAAATTTATGGATCTATAAGCCAATAAAATCCATGCAAGTGATGATCAGACGAAAGTCTTTCTAAATGAATACTTTAAAATCTGCCGAAAAAACACTCCATTTATTCAAATAGTAGTTTAGTAATTTTAAGAATTTGCGATCAACCCATTGAATTTCCACATATTTAAACTTTAAGCATGGGCTTTATTGCCCAGCTCGTAGTTCGCACAGCAGAGAGCACTCAAAATGGCACCAATTTAATTACACCCCGGGCCAGACACTCAGACAGACAGCCATCCGCACTCATAGACACACACGCACACTGAGAAACACTCATTCATTTTCACCTTGAATGTTGGAAAAAAGTTTTCTATGCTTCGGATGGAGTTTTGTTGGTTCGCAGTGCCGGCCCAAACACTAAGCGCATAATCTTGTAAACTTGGCAAAAATGCCTCAAATGCCATAACTAAAATAAGCAGCGGCATAGACAAAGAAGATTCTGGGAGGGGGAGCGGCGTTAGGAACGTTATGGCTAGGCAAGAGCCCGAGCCAGATCCAGATTGCCCTAAAGGGCGTAATACAGATTCTCGGCAAAAGTTCGAGTCAGGCGTGGGTGTGAGAGAGAAAGAGAGAGAGAGAGAGAGACGAAGGCAAGAGAGGAGATTGTGTAGAGTGCAAGTGCTTGATGCAAATTATTTGGCCTGGAGGTTAACTAGGGTCGTTTAGCAAATGCCTAATACACAAAAAGACAGAGCATGCACACACACACACACACACACACACACAGTGAAACTTTTTATGAGCACAGTGCATTGGCATTCATAAGAGCAAGTAAAGCATTTTTCTATGCGAACGTTTGGGGGCTCAGGTCGGGGCTTGGGCTGGGGCCATGGCAATGGCAATGGCAAAGGCAAAGGCAAAGGCAGAGGAATTGGTTGCCAACCGCACAGTCTGGACTTGCACATGCCACGCCCACACACCCACACGCCCCTTTTGGCACCCCCCACAACAATGACAAGTACAATAAATGCCTTTCAACTGCGGTTTCACATGCACTTGAAGTGAAGTGGGCGGCTGCCAAGGGTGGGCGTGTGCTTCATAAACCCGAAGTGCAATTTGAAGTGAAGTGCCTCGTACTATGAAGTATGATAGTTTGGTCTCCACACACACACACATACGTATAAATATGTATGTATATACAGATGCATCTGTGTGCATGTGTATGTTTGCCTTCCTTATCTGGCATCCACTTCCTGCCATCTTCACCCCCATCTGTCACTTGTGCTGCGCCGCCTTGTGGCTTTACCAAGTTTTGGACTCCATCCCGGACATGTTAGGCGGCTCTAAATGAAACTTTATCCCTGGAGTGTTAAAAGTCTTGCCATCTGTTAGCTGCATCGCCTTGAGTGAGTGTGCGCGTGCCTGCGCCTGCAACTGTGTGTCTGTGTGCGTATTGTGGCTGCACTTAATTTGCTGCGCGCAACATGCTTCGTCTGCTTTGCGGCACAAATGCTGTTGCATGTTAGCCAAAAAAAAAAAAAAAAACATTTTCCAAAACTAATTTTTAAAACTTTCTTCTATTACTTTAATTTTTATCTCTTTATTTTATCTACTGCAAGTGCAATTTTTTTTTTATAGATTTTATATACTAGTTTTTCTTATATATAATTTAATATAATTTTCTTATATATAATTTAATTTACATATATACGTAGGTGTTAATATATGAAAAAATATATAAGAATTTCAATTTCAAATACCAAAAAACGAAAGATAAAAAATAAATGAAACGGCTAAATGAAACTTAATGAAATTGAATACCTGCAATTTCCATATTATTTATGAAATTTATTAAACTTAACTTTAAAATTTATGATAGTAAATTAAACACATTGCATTATATTGAATTAATCAAGCAGATTTGCCATTTTAAGATTATCTTTGGAGCCATCAATAAAAAAATAAATTATTATATTATTATTATTAATATTCTTATTGCAACTGTTTTAGTATACATACATATGTAGAGGCCAATGCTTGGCAAATATTTTTCTCTACATTTTATAATGAATAAATTGTATAACATATAATATTCACAAACATAGATATGCATAAATTCAAAAAATTCGATTCTATAATAATAGAAAGTAAAGAAAGTATTATATATTAATATTATTTAGTGCTATCCTCAGCAATTTGCTTTTATTCTTCCTCTTCTTAAATGCAATGTTGGCCATGCAGAGCAGCTTTTGTCCACACTCACAACAGTCAAACAGTGATTGCCAACCTACATACATATACAGGGTATTTCAAGTCGATGCCCCAGAAATGCCATGGGATTGACGCGCAAGAATGAGCACGCGAAAATTGCTCAACGATTTCGATTTGTTTCCAGATTTCGGCTAATGTCAATTTCGGGCCACTAATTACGATAATACAGAGCAGCAACAACAACGACAACAATAACAACGAAGGCAACGACAATTCCAAATCGAATGTCATAAATAATTCGTGCTGCAATTCGAGTGAAAGGTTGACCACACTCCACCAAAACAACAGCAGCAAAACATCCTCGAGAGTTGAAAATGGAAACGAAAATCAAGCACACATGAGATGTGGGCAAGGGGGGCGTGGCTGCCAGAGAGGGGGAGCGAGTCTGTGTGTGTGTGTGTGGAGCTACCTTAGCATTCAGTCAGGTGTAGCTAGACAGACAAGTGTCAGTCAAGCCGAAGGAGAGCGCAGAGCGGGCAGTTAGCTTGCCATGATACACACACACACACACACACACACACACACGTGAACATATCAATCTTAATTAAGATTTCAGTTCTCTTTCGCTGAAGAGCCGCCCACACCTGGCTGTTTGCCCCCATCCCTTTCCCATTTCCCCCTCGCCCACTTCGCAGGAGCTGCTGCTGGCTTCAGCTTGTTAGGGTCGCATTAGCAAATAGTATGGGTTGTTTTGATTTTTGCGCCACTGTGCGATGTTGTTGTTGTTGTTGTTGCTAGTCAATCAGTGGCAAATGTTGTTGGCAGCCCAGAAGTTTATTACTTGCTTCCATCGATTGCTCAACTAATTGCAGTTGATGTTTTATTTCATTCGATATTCGGGTTACTCACCGTTACACACACAGTCAAAGGTGTGTCTGTGTGTGTGAGTGTGCACATTTTTGTTTGTCTATTTGTGTGTGTGTGTGCGAGTTATTCAATGCTTCAAATGAAGTTTTTCAGCATTTAACCTTCAGTAAGTAAATATTATTGTTACTTGAAGTTGGGCTATGTTTTACAGTCAGGCGAAAATGAAGCACGTGTGAATGCGGTTTACACCAGCGAATTGGTTGGATAACTGATTGTATGACTGAGTGAGGAGGAAGGCGGGCGTCTGACCATGGAAGAGTGTGCTTGAGTTATTGGACACAGCCTGGCTTTGGCATTTCATATTTCAGAGCAAGAGACCTGAGTAGGCTTAAGGTGAGGGTGATGAAATAATTTAAATAAATATAGGCAAAATGATTTTATAAAATAGAATTTTAAGAAAATTGTAATCAAGAACATTTTACTAATTATAATTATCTTTAAAGTACATATATAAAACAAGTAAATTTAAAAAAAATTTGTGAATAGAATTTAAAAATATTAGATATTAGAATATTACATCATTTCAACATTACTGTCGCTCTAAAAATGTAAAATGTAAAAAAAAAAAAAAAAAAAAAAAAAAAAAAAAACCAGAATCCATTTTTTTTCTCCAGGGGAAATCACCGATAACTTGCTTGAGTTGAAGGAACAAGACATACTTTTGTTTATGTATCGGTAGCAGAGAGTTGGGTTCGATAGGTTCGAGTGCTTGAACTGACCGAACATCAATCGCATCTCTCCCTAAACGATGTTTGTGAAAAGAGCGTCACGGGAATACTCGACTCAAAGCGAACAAAGAAAAGACAAAAACGAAAATAACTGAAGAACCGGATCAGAACAAGCGGGATTCTACGAAAGAAGCTTAAAAAGAATAAGTTATTTGAGAGCTTTACTGCTTATCGATATAATTTTCTATTTTAAATATTATTAAAGTTAGAAAAGCTTCATTTATTTAAATATTAATTTATAAAATAATATTTTGTTCTTATCATTTTTCATTTAATACTATTATTGCTTTCTTTATTCAATGTATTTATTTAAAATATTTATTTAATTGTTTATTTATTTATTCTTTTTTAATATATTTCAATGTCATATATGTCTTTGTATGTTAATTTTTTATTTTCATTATATATTTTGATATTAAAACTTCCGCATTGTGACTTTAACCTTTTGCGAGAGTATTTAATCAGAAGGTCGAAATGGATTTCAACACATAGATCCATTTTAATAACTTCTTCAAATACATTCCAGCCAAATCATTGGGGTACGCGCTTTAAAACCCGCCGGTTCCTTGCTCGCTTGTCAACATTTCACTGGCAATCAATAAAATTCACTGCTCGTTGCATCTCCATTCGTGTAATCCCAATTACAATCACAGTCGCTCCTCTGCCCGGAATATATCAATAAAAGCAATTAAATTTTCTATTAACGAAATCAACTGTGGCAAATGCGGTGAACGGGGCAAAGGCAACAACAGCAACAACAACAACAGCAAATGGAGTTACCGAAAAATAAAAAAAAAAAGCATTGCAGACAAGGCTCCAAAACACCATCATCATGATTGTGATTGTGATTGCGATTGCCAAGCCCAAGCCCCACCACCACCACCACCAATACTAACACCATCATCAGCACCATCATCATCATCAACATTATGATCATCAAAATCAACAAGCTAGAGAAGTGCAGGATTCGGCGCATCATCTACAAAAACAATCAAAAGCGGGCAGCGCGGCAATTGCCGGGTTGCCGGCAGTTGGCCTGCAAGTTCATCAAACTGTTTCAGAGCGCACAAAAAAAAAACAAACATTGAATGAGGGAGCACAGCGCCAACTAGCAGTATATAGGCGAGTGTAGCTATAACACACTCACACGCTCACACACGCACACACACAGACTGGCTTCATGTGCGCGTTATTGTTATTGCTTTCGGGCAGAAAAACGCCTCCAAAAAGTCCATAGCAGGATGCGTTCATTTCGCAGCAACCAGCACAAAAAAAAAAGGGAAGGTTCTGCTTGTTTTTTCCGTTGCTGGCCGCGTGCCAGAAACTCTACATCATCATCGGGAAACATGAGTGTGCTGTAAAATTAACATACCCAGCGAGCGAATTGCACCAAAAACAAGAGGGCGTTGCCTGTGGGCGTGGCTGTCAAATTAATGGAAATGCTATCACTGCAATAAGTATTTGCAGTTAAATTGAGTAAGCCGAAAAGGCGCCATCTACCTGCGAGTAGAGCAACTATAATGAATATAATGAAATGAAACAAAAAATTTTAATATATATGCATATAAATAGGCAATTTTTAATTTAATTGAAATTAAATATTTGATTGAAATTGCAATTGAAAAAGCCATTAGCTTCAATTTATTTTTAAATAAATAAAATAAAACTGAAAGTATATAATTTAAATTTAAATTTGCCTAAATTCAAAAAAAATTAATTTAATTTTCTTCCCAAAAATATCATTGATTTTAATTGTAGCACTACACAAAAATAACATTTCGCTGCAAATGGTTAATAATACAACTGAATGGCGCACTTTGCGGCGGACATTTCACTAAAGCTCAATCAGCCATAAAAATTAAAGCTGTCCAAGACCCAAATACAATAAAAAATACAAAAAAATTTAGAGGAAAAAGGGTT